TTTCCTCTTGAAGGCATAAGAATGTCATGTTGTGGGAGAATAGAAGCCACAAGGTCTTAAGACCATCGAGGATGTCAACCAAGAACATTCCTGTGAGAAAGAGTTGAGAAAAGAGGACATAGGTCCCCAATGTCCCAGTCCGACCTGTGCCATCGCATAGCTGTAGCTCGTACACCTTCAAGCAGACGTCACTAACTGTAGAGATCTTCTTTCTTCATAGTCTTAAGAGCGCTGCATGTGGCGGCACCCCCGTGAAAGCGAGAGAAGTTGCTGATCACAATTTGGATGAACGCGCCATGGACGCATCGCGGAAATTAAATCTTCGGCAAGCGTGACAATGAACGAGAAACAAGTTTCGATCACCACTGTGGAACACATATGTATAAAGTTGTACGAAGGTGATCATTATATATACTCATACGCAGATTCTGAGCGCGACCTTATCCCGGATATTTAAGTCTTGAAGTCATCCCAGCCTTTGTAACCGCTACTGAAGTGGACTCCTTCTAAAAGCGATGACACATCGCTAGAGAGCGATATAGCTCGGACATAGCAATATGATCAATGAGTCCAATGGCAAAGGTGCTCTGCAATGGCGAGCGAGTCTACATGAGTATTCTGCCAAATGAGTTGTCATTGAGCATTAATGGGGTAGTGGTAACCTGGGTCGTTGCCATTCTTCGATAATGTTCGACCCGCCGGGGGTTCGATTCCCCCTTAATGCAGACATTTTGTGAGACAGTTTTCTCACCGAGTAAGACGAAGTTTCCCCTAAATTTACCATGAATCCATCCATCCCTTCTCGCTTCAAGTATTTATTGTCGATTTCTAGAGTGAAAAGCAGTGGACACGAGTGACACGTACCAATGTAGTTTGGGTAGCCTAACAAGATGTCACTCAGACAACGCGAAATTAATTATTCAACATGTAACTCATTCAAACCCCTCGTCAAGTGACACCTTCAATATGATTCTATGCTGGAAGCACAAGCCCATCTAAAGCACTGGAGCGTTTTTGGAGGCAGAGGAAAGGCAATTCCGTGGTCTCCGTGGTCGCACAAGTAAGCTGAGTTAGATGGTGCTGACACAGGTAAGCTGAAGGAAGGCAGTTTTAGTCATGCAAAACTAAT